TTCGAGTTCAGTGGGCACCTTCTTGTGCCCCTCGTGGGAAAGAACGTCCCCTCCCCAACTAACCAGGTCCCAGGAAGCTAGGAAAGCCTAAGGTTGCAGGGGTGAGAAGCACAAAATAAGCAAATGGGTCACTGGGAATGATGGTGAGATTAGTCAATCCTACTTCAACTGCTTGGTTCCTGTAGCTAGTCTGGCTATTTGGAGTATTTCAGTCCCATGTGTGGATTGTGGGTTTAACAAGCCCATACATAGAGTATTGTCCTTGGGCTGACACTTGAGCTATCCCACAGCTCTTTAAGGCTAGTTTCTTCTGAGTGATGGAGCACATAGTCCTGTGTCCACTGTCACATCGTCTGTTGTCGCAGTGTCATGTGTCCATTGTGATGCCTCTTTCACCACACAGTGGGTCCCTGGGTCTGAGATAGCATCGAACAGGAGACCATGTTGCTAAAGAAGGTATTCTGTAACCCCTGGATGATAGTCCTGGCAGAGGTATGGGGCACAAGGACACCCCCCATACACATATCTAGGGTAAATGTGAATTTCAGCAAGGACAAATAGCTGTTCCTTCTGGGGTGAAAGGATTTTAGTCTGTTACTAAGAGTCTGGATGATGATCTCAAGGAATGGTGCTGTATCTACAGGTCATCACTGATCACTGTTGTGCTGGTAGGTTAGATACTCAATATCAGCCGTGATGAATTCTGCTTTGTGAGTGGGAGCCAAAGCTTTTCAGTTCAGGCATAGCCTCCATCATTCCCATAATGTCTTCTCTGCTCATGGGCCCATGGAACCAGCATTGGAGTAACAGAGGGGAGAGGTTGGCAGAATACAAGGACAAGTCATACTGTTTACCTGCTTGTTGTGAGTGTCCTCTTAGTGGGTACTTATTGGTGGGCATTAATATCAGATGTTGACTGGAGCAGTCCAGGTCCCTGGAGAAGAGTTTTTGAGTGAGTTTACACTCTCCTTTTCTATCTTGGCCTTCTAGCTATTCCAAACTGACATGATCATTTATATTTTACCTTTAAGAATTTATTAAAATTTTACTCAGGAGGCTGAAGGAGGAGGATTGCTTGAGCCCAGGAGTTTGAGATTTTAGTGAGTTATGATGATACAACTGTACTCTAGCCCAGGCAACAGAGCAAGACCCTGTCTCAAAAAAAATATATATTAAAATTTGAACTGATTTCTTGTTACCTGTTTATGTGGTGGACACTTCTTTCTCCTGTGTTCTGTCAAAGGTGAAAAAGATCATATATCCATCTCTCCTTGGAGGGGCTTGTCACTCTTTGGGATTCAGTTCACTGATGGGCTCAAGACATTATGAATTTGAGGATTATCTGATTTTTTTTCCCTCATTGTTAGAATAGGAGCCATGTTCTCTTTGGAAGTAAAATCTTTTAAAATCATCCTTTAGAAGCAGCTGGTTTTTCTGACCTCAGCTGGACAGGGCTGCTGAAACTTAGCTACTTCTAAAAATGTCATAACAGTTCCATCAGACACACGTCCTTCAGGTCACACTGTGAAATATTTCTGGCAGAGTATCAGAGTGAAAGGGTCCTGTTTCATAAGATTCTTTTCTCTGTGATGTCATTTTCTAATGGAACTTTATCCTGTGCTGTTGAGTGGACTCGTCTCCTGAGTGGGCAGGCAAGGAAAGAGAGTATTTTCTCATATAAGCAGTTATGCAAGGTCAGGGGTGGAAAGGTTATGGGGGGTCAGTACAACTACCAGCTGACTTGTGATTCAGGTATCATGAACACGGTGTCTGCTAATTTCTGCTGGAATGTTTCTAGTGCTGGTGATCTCATTATTTTTTTTAAGACAGCCTATTTTTGTCTTTTGTTTACATACATCATCTTTTGTTTATGGTTCTCTATGGTGAACCCAAACTTCCCTGAATTAATTGTTAGCTACCTGTTTCTGATCCTTTGGATCAGTGGGCTACAGCCTGGCATCTGTAACCTACTAGCCACTAAGGTGGGCAGTGGCCTGTCAAAAGTTTATGGTAATCACCCTGGGACCTACTTACTTGATTCTGTTCTGCTCTTGCTTTAAATATGGTCTCAACTGTCAACACTGGCTAAGGTAGTCCTCATTTGGAGCCCACCTCTAGTCTTTTGAACTTTATATCAGTAGTTAGACTTCCCAGGTTTTAAGTACTAGCATTTTCTAATGGTCTGCAATATGGATTTGCATTCTGGTCCTACGGGCTTGGTAAAGATTCCCTGCTCAAGTTCTAGACCCCTGGAGCCAAACTCCATGATCACATGCAAGAGAAGGGAGGATGTGAGAAGCTCTGTGCTTCACACTCTACCAAACAAGTGAATACACACCTGTACTTACAGTCCTTTCAGGTGTTTGAAGACAGACTTTATGTTCATTCAAGGTCATCTCTTCCTCACACCCAACACCTCTGATGTCTTCTCATACGAGGGTTTTAAGGAAAAGAGAACATTTGATCCAACCATAGGTAGCCCCCAAATTTTTATATTACCAAGTTGTTTTTTCTATTCTGCTTTCTAAATTCAAGATGGATGAAGATGCTAATCATTATAAGCCCAATGCATGTTACCATCTTCCTATTATCATTATTATTATTGAAAAAGATATACATGCACACAGGTTAAAAAAAATCAAATAGTTCTACAAAGGTAGTTAACAAAAACAGGACTCTCTCACTTCTTTTCCCTTTTCCTTCCTCCCCAGTAGCAATCACATTATTTAGGTAATTATTTAATTATTTCAGTACTTAATTGATGTTTCTAAATAACATGTTTATACACTATTTTTTATTTTTTTATTTTCACTTTATTTTTTTTTAATTTTTTTAAATTAAAACTTACTCAGCTTAGTCAATATACACTATTTTTTGCCATTCAGTGTTTATGTGATTATGCCTGTGTGACTGTCGAACTGTGTAGTATACTATGATCTTTTTAGCCTTACCTGTACAGCTTTTTGTCTGTTTCTAGTTAATAATTGTCTTATTTGATTGTTTTTCTATGTACTTGCTTAAATCTCCTGTGAAGATGTTGAGGTCTTATTTGATTGTTTTTCTATGTACTTGCTTAAATCTCCCGTGAGGATGTTGAGATATACCAGGTATCCAGCTTGTTTGATCTTGTGAAGGGGAGCTCTCCCAGAACATTCTGACCTAATTCCATGTGTATAGTTGTCCTCTGCCTTATCGTAGAGTGTGGATCTACTTTCCTTAGCATTTTGGAAATTTTCTTTCTTTTTCTTTTTTCTTTTCTGTGCTGACACCTCCGTTTCCTGTATGCTTTGTCTCCTGTTTTCTTAGTTCCTTCTCTCTGGTTTTTGCATTTCCATACCTTCCCTAGAAGAGGTGCATGGGAGAATGTAGGACAATGTCTTCATTCTACTCTGACATTTAAGCATTAATTTAGCTGAGTGTAAACTACTAAAATGGACATCAGTTTTCCTCACGATTTGGAAGGTGTTTCGCTATTGCCTTTTAAAAAACTTTATTTTTTAGGACAGAGTCTTACTCTGTTGCCTGGGCTAGAGTGCCATGGCGTCAGCTTAGCTCACAGCAACCTCAAACTCCTGGGCTCAAGCAGTCCTTCTGCCTCAGCCTCCCGAGTAGCTGGACTACAGGCATGCGCCACCGATGCCGGCTAATTTTTTCTATATATTTTAGTGGCATTAATCTTGTTTCTATTTTTAGTAGAGACAGGGGTCTGACTCTTGCTCAGGCTGGTCTCAAACTCCTGACCTCGAGCGATCCTCCTGCCTCAGCCTCCCAGAGTGCTAGGATTACAGGCGTGAGCTATTGTGCCTGGCCTAAAAAACTTTTAATTTTGAGGTAATTTTGTTTTCAGAAAGAAGAGTTACAAAGATGGTTCGGAGTTCTGGATCCTCTTCACCTGGCTTCCCCTAATGCTAATGTTTTACATGACTGCAGTGCATTTGTCAGCACTAAGACATTCATATCAGAACACTGCTACTAACTAACCTGCGGACATTAGTCATGTTTTATCATATGTTACCGGCATTCTTTGTTCCAGGGTCAAATCCAGGATAGTAGGCTGTATTTAGCCATAATGTCTCCTGAACTTGTAGGCAATTTGAAGGACTTGGACTTTAACTTTGGAATGAGAAGAGCTGCTGAGTGTAGCCTGCAGTGGATCTGGGGTGTGGAGTCAGGGCTGTTAGTTAGGAGACCATGAAAATAAACCAAGACCGAGCACGGACCAAGCTCCCAGCAGCATTTTGTAGCTAGAAGGTACCGTGCAAATATTAGAGATTCTTATTGTTTGGTGGAAACATCTTAGTGTTGGGAACAGTTGAGTGTGATGGAAGTTCATTAAAAACAAGGGGATTAGTTGTAACATGTGACAACATAGATGTAAAAACCATGTTTGGTGAAAAAGTAGCAAATGCAATGAGATAGAAAATATAACAACGTGTAAGTAAATTAAAAACAAATGCCCAGAAAAACGAGAACACATTTTGCAAAATGTGTTTAAATACACTTACAGGTAAATACAAAAAACTGTATTAAACACATTAAAATGTTTGCCATTTTAATGGGCAGGAGGGACATGGTAGTGGGATAGAGGAGAAAGGAATAAGGAAGGAAACAAATCAAACAAATAACAAGAGGGAAGGGAAAGCTTTAGAACACGAAGAAAACTGGTTCAATCTTGGGCATACTGTTTGGGACAATTTATGTAACTTTTTTGTGCCTTAAGTTCCCACCTCTGGTAAAATGGGATAGCACTGCCTATTTAATATGCTTGCTGTAAGAATTAAATGAGGCAGTTTGTGCAAAATGCCTGGCAGAGTGTCCAGTGCACAAATATATTCAATAAATATTAGATACTCTCTTTTCCCTTCAACTCTGCAGAATTAAAGATATTTGCTTTAGAAGAAGTATGAACGTGCTGTGTCCCATGATCATGAGATGGGAATATAGGAATTGTGCTTCCTTGTCATATATTTTACATTCATTTCTCCCTTCTCTCAATGCAGGGCTTACCTCCCAAAAGATGGAAGGCAGAAGATACACATCTGAGCTGCCCGGAGCCTACCATGTTTGCTTTCTCACCACCCCGGGCTCCACGCTGGGGCTCTTCGCGAGAGATGTGGGTACGAAGCTTCGAACAATCCAAGAAAGAAGCCCGGGCGCTAAGGTGGCTGGTGGATAGGAATCAAAATTTCTCAGCTCAGGAGTTTTGGGCTCTAGTGTTCAAGGACTAATTTCCAAAATGTATCAGAATGATGTAGACTAGAACCTTCTAGAACTTTGTTTTCTGGGTTGCCTTAATATTTGAACACGGTAGCTATTCTGATGACTATCCATTAGGATAAGAATTAATTGCTGCAGTACTCATAATGAGCCCTATCAAAGAACAGATGTGAATTACCCTTAGGGGTTGCCTCTGTATTTTTTTATACTAAAAAAAGTAAATATTTCTTATGGACACTGGTCATCTTCAGTTTACATGTCTGGACTCACGTACTTGCTGCCTTTTGTGGACATTCACCTGATTTAGAGCGAGCGCTTTCCTTGCAGGATGGAGGCAGAGGATCTAGCTGTGGATTCTAGGTCCTCACTACACTCTCAATGGTGTACTGGTATTTGGAAGCCCAGTGTTCTCTGATGCTGAGTGTGAACAAGAAGTGCATTTGAACTTGGCAATGAGAAATCCCATCTGTTGGTTTCCAAGGATCTAAGTGAGTAATAAAAGCTGTTTCAGGTCTGCCTGCCATCTCCTCTTCCAGTCAGAAGGACATAGGCATGTCTACCTTCTTCTCCATACCCTGAGCCACCTCTCTAACCTTCCTTCTCCTACCTGGCCCTGTGGCTACCTGTTTTGCCTTCAGAGTGGGGTGTCTTGTAATGCCATGACTCCTCCTTGTGTGTTTTGGTCAGTGAGATGTTACTGGTTGTCCCGTATACTACTGAGCAGAATAAGAGGGAGAATTGCATGATTCCGGCTGGATGGCCTGTGTGTTTCGATCAATGTGAGAGTAGAAGTGGAATGTCCCCAGGAACTCCACTTGTGTTGAAGCCAATTTGTCATTTATTAGGACGACAGGCGGCCTGTCCTGGTGGGCAGCCACAGGCCTTCAGTTTGTGAGTGTTTCCTGTCATTTCCGATCCTGCCACAGAGAAGGTTCAGCTGTCTTGTCTGGGGTGTCTACCAGAGCTCCATAAAAAACAGAGGGGAGCAACACAGGATCACGTTTTCCTTCCATGTGAAAGTGGGGAGGCTTCTAGGTGATACTAAAGCCTGTTGCCACCAATATGTCATGGTTTCCATATTCTTTTTTTTTTTTTTTTCGAGACAGAGTCTCACTTAGTTGCCCAGGCTAGAGTGAGTGCCATGGCGTCAGCCTAGCTCACAGCAACATCAAACTCCTGGGCTCAAGCGATCCTCCTGCCTCAGCCTCCTGAGTGGCTGGGACTACAGGCATGCACCACCATGTCCAGCTAATTTTTTCTATATATATTTTAGTTGGCCAATTAATTTCTTTCTATTTATAGTAGAGACAGGGTCTCGCTCTTGCTCAGGCTGGTTTCAAACTCCTGACCTCAAGCGATCCGCCTGCCTCGGCCTCCCAGAGTGCTAGGATTACAGGCGTGAGCCACCGCGCCCGGCTCCATATTCTTAATCATGGAAAGTCATAAGCCTCAGAGGGCCGCCTGAGGACAGGAAGGTCTCTGATGTTCATGTTCATGTTCATGAATGATATGGCATAAAGGGGAAGCTTAGGAGTGCGCCCCAAGCACAACCCTCCTTTTATTGCAAGTGCCTGTTATGTGCTTGGCAGTGGGCAGTGTTTTCTGCATGTAGCTCTCTCTGGCTGTGCCAGCCAGCATATGAAAAATGAGAACTGATCCCGGTACCTTCTTTTAGAAGCAAGAAGGACCACATTGCTGGGTGGGAGAAGGTGTTGATAACTGGGTTCTTCCCAATTTCAGTTCTGTCATTAACTAAATATGATCTTGGAAATATGTCTTAACCTCCATGGACCTTAATTTTTGCTTCTAAAGAGAAATGATTGAGCTGGTCTTTGAAGTTTTTTTCTGTGTACCATTGTTTCATTGTTCATCAACATTAAGAAGTTTAATTTTGTAGATGTCTTTACTAAGATGGTAACAAAGTATTTTAGAACTTCTGTGTATTATTCAAAGGAAGCATGCTCTTTGGGGAAAGGAGTGTAACTTAAATCACAGTCATCACAACTGCACAGGGAGATTGGATATTTTAATACCCATTTTACAGATGAGTAAACTGAAGCTTAGAAAGGCCAAATAACTTGACCAAGATAAGAAAGACAGTACATTGTGGAGTGATGAATAAAACTAGGTTTTTCTTACAGTCATAATTCTTAGTGTTATGCTTATTTTTGCTTATGTCTTTTATTTCTGAGCATTGCATGGGCACCTGGCCCATAAGTTGGTTCTTATCGACACAGAGTAAACTCATCGGATGCATCCTCTCATAGGGGGAAAAAGGCAGTTTTACATAAGAATGTCCTTAATGAAGCAATAAATATGATCGTTTTTGTTAAATCTCAACTTTTGTGTATATCTGTCTTTTTAATATCCTGCATGACAAAATTGAGGGTATATCCAAAAAATTTCTGCTACACAACAAAGTATAACAGGAGCTTCAAGGAAAGTACTTGTGTGATTGAGTTGTGAGCCGAACTAGCTGCTTTTTTCATGGAACGCCACTGTTGCTCAAAAAAAAAAATCTGGAAAACTATGCTCATTCAATCTTGTGTTTTTGTCAATCCTGCTCATGTGAAAACAAAGTGAGCCTCTCACTTTAAGAGACTGACAGAATTTGTTGCCAATGATAAAATTTTAGCTTTCAAGTGAAAATTAAAATTGTGGAATGCTAATATCCACCAGGTTGAGTGACAACTTCCCAATACTTAAAGACTTTCCCGATGAAGATGGGTGGCAATATTATTAGTAACAAATGTTACTTTTGACCTTGAGATATTAATAACAAATGTTACTTTTGACATTGGCCAAGAGATCATGGAGGGTGTTTTTAGTTTGTTTATCATTTGTTTTCATAATTCAAAAGAAGGGTTAGTGTTATGGACTGGTGAGGGCAAGTTTAAATTAACTTAAATAATACTTTTTTAGTTGAAGAGTTCCATAAGTGAAGGTCGCAAAAATTATTATTTGAAAACTGAGATAAGGCAAAAGATACCCAGAGCTATCAATGAGGGGAAAAAAAGCCTTTTGATTTTTCAACTGGGAAACCAGAAAAAAAGCGTATTAAGCAACATGAAATATACTTTAAAAATATATCGTGAATATTTTCATTATTTTGGGTCACTCACAATGTCAAGTAAATGGAACTGACGAAACCTCTGCCACCATAAAGCTTATTTTAATTCTAGTAAAGAATGAGAATTGATGTCCTTTAGCAAAATATAAACCACTTCGAGGAAGCTTTTGTTTATTTTGCAGGATTCCCTCGAGATAGAACGTATCTCCTGAATACTGATCGCTCTATTTGAAACATATAAAATGTGATACAAATGGGTTCTATTTATAGAGTATATTACATGGACTATATTACTAACAAGACGTGTCAGAAGTACAAAAATTCAAATTTGGAGTGAGTTGGCAAGTCTAGAAGCAAACCCTTTCTCTGTTTTTTTTTTTTTCTTTCATTCTTCACTCCAGTGTTTATTCCTGCTCCCCCAGGAGAGGAAAAAATTCCACTATCAACATTGGGTGATTTTCCAGCAAGAGAAAGAGCTTGGACTTGAGGGCTGGCAATAGCTTTGGTGAACCACAGGTGCAAGCAGTTCTGCTCTGGCCAGTCGACATCTGTTCACCTTAAATGCAGAGGCTGGACTGGCTCAGTATTTCCTTAGCCTCTGTGCCTCCAAAAAGGGGAAGTATTTTTTCTCATGAGCTGTGTTCAGTCATCATGTATATAGTTCACACACCATTAATAAGAAGACTCATTTCACCATTGAAATAATCCGCTAGTCGGAGAGAATGTGGATCCCACAGATGAGTGTCTTTAAGTATCAAAGCTTTATCACAGATGTCTTCTGCTTCCCGTTTCTGTGGCCCAACATCCCACCTCAAGTGTGCAGGTTCGCCTGGAAGTGATGGAGCACGTGTGTCTTTGTTTTTGCAGGGGCTCTAGGGCTGCTATTGAAAATACATCTTGGTAGTCCGTATTCCGAAAGACGAAGCAGCTCTCTGTGCCCTTCTCTGGAAAGACTGTGACAATATAATATAAAGACTGTGACCTTACGGCCAGGTGCGGTGGATCTCGCCTGTAATCCTAGCACTCTGGGAAGCAGAGGCGGGCGGATTGCTGAAGGTCAAGAGTTCGAAACCAGCCTGAGCAAGAGCGAGACCCCTTCTCTACTAAAAATAGAAAGAAATTAATTGGCCAACTAAAAACATATAAAGAAAAAATTAGCCAGGCATGGTGGTGTATGTCTGTAGTCCCAGCTACTCGGGAGGCTGAGGCAGAAGGATTGCTTGAGCCCAGGAGTTAGAGGTTGCTCTGAGCTAGGCTGGCGCCACGGCACTCACTCTAGCCTGAGTAACAAACCGAGACTCTGTCTCAAAGAGAAAAGACTGTGACCTTATAGTGTATTGTACTAACTGAGACACTTTTAAGAGTGAAAGGAGGCACTATTGATTAAGCAGGACAATGGGCATGAATTGGGATGTGTGGTCACCTCGGCTGTAGGGGGTGGAGGGGACAACAGGGTGTTTCAGCACTGCAGTGTTCACAAACAGTCTCTGAGGATGGGGTGCTCAGATAAGAAAAAGGTTACTAATATTTATGAAGGATCTCCTGTGTGCTGGGCACTTAATTGTCACAATAACCATTTGAAGTAGGTAGTTCTTGTTTTTTCCTTCTTTTATAATACAAAACAAAACTCAAATAATTTAACCACAATGGGGTGAAATTTTGACTTTTTTTTTTTAATTGTGACAGGTCATTATTTAAGATTTTCCAGTAGCCACTCATAGTAGAGGAGACCCCGAGTCTCTTGGGTGGAGATTCTCTGGGCTCCAGCAAGAACCTCTTGAGCAATCCGTTTACTTGTGGTGATATAGGGCACTTGGGCTCCCTCAGTTCTGCAGGGTGGGGGTGATTTTTTGTGCCTTGAAGGGATAGCACCTTCATCCATCACCTTAACTATGGAAAGTCAAAAGCCAACTATGGAAAGAAGTGGAAATTTGAAAATAGGTGCGATGGGCTCTTGAAAATTATTGAGATTTAGGCACCCTTCCTCCTCACTTGCAGACCCATTTTCCCCACAATATCTTATTTTGAAAAAGTTTTAGCACTACAAAAAAGATGTACGACTACTATAATGAACACTTGAATATTCTTCATTTGGATTCACCAGTTGATAATAGTTTGCCACATTTGCTTTATCTCTTTTCTCTTTTCCTTTTTTGCTTTTTGAAAGTAAGTTGCGGACATCTTAATACTTCACCCCACTCCATCTTCTAAGAAGGGCATTTGATGTCCTCCTCCACGCTCTCTTCTCATACCTCCCTGCCCCATGCAAGTCCCAGATCTAAGAAACAGACACCACTAATCAATTCTGTTGTTCTCTCCAGTTTGATTCTCATCCAAAATTTCCTGGTTTTTATAATTACAGAGGATAACATGTGATGGTTAATTTTATGTGTTAACTTGACTGGGCTAAGGGAAGCC